GGAAGTTAGAACACTTCCGTAGAGACTGCCCGGAAAACAAAGTCAAGCAAGGAGTAGTAAAGATTAGGATAATTCGGATACCAATACTATACCTAACTAAGGAACTAGACGAAACCCTTAGCGATCTAGACCTGTACGATAAAGCAAGATAAGCCACAGACGAAGCGTTTAAGCTAGTATAAGAGGCAATAGAACTCTAAGACTTTAAGTAGGACGTACTACTACTAACAGATTAGTAGATTAAAGGGGCCGAAGTGTTACGCCGTCTAAGAAATTAATAGTGCTAGATCTACAGACTTACTACGTACTTAGCCAACGATTGCGACTACGAAGAACGAATTATAGTCTTAGGACCCTAAGTAGAGAAAATTACCTACCGGGCAGCCTAGGAATAACCTAAGTTTAAGGAACCTAATAACGAGGGGATACCTTGGTCGTTTAAGGAACGAATAGAGCAACATGAGCGCCTATGTTAGGTTAACTGTCTAAGACAGTGTAATTACCACTTAAGGAAGAGAGAAAAGACTAAGGACAACGAGGATGATTGCTGCCATACTAATTTATAGCATAACGAATGTCGAGTATAGCATTACTATATGCACTAGCTAGGAGAAAAGGAAGCTTACGAGAAGCTATGCTAGATTAAGTGCACGATTAACTGCTAATTCTATAAGGAATAACGACGGAAAGCTAGAAGGGTAGACGACTACTACTATAGTATGATATCCACCGAGGAATGCATAGCAAAGAACTACAGAATGCATAGAGCCTAAGTACGGGACATACTAGAAGTAAAATATGCTAAACTTCTATAAACGCATTATAAAACTAGATGCGCCCTATACTAATAATAGTTTAAGAATGCTTAAAAGGTAGACGATTACTATTATAGCACTCTGCTAGCGAACCTTTGTAAGGCAACGGATTACCTAATTTACGAAAGTAAGAAGCTGAAACTAAGAGAAAGGACTGCGAAGAAGGAGATACTATACCGCAATATCTATTAGAGCTTTTACTATAATGATTAATGTACTAATCACTACGACGCTAAAATCGGCGCGGGACGGTTTCCTAAGGAACAGAGAAAGTCGCAGAAAGGACGACTCTCTAAGCTAAAAAACTAAGATACTGCCAGAGACAGAGTCACGCTAGCAAAGGCAGTCCTAAAACAACCCTTAAAGAAGTGCGAGAAGTAAGAGCGTAAGACCTGTAGCTACGAGCCACAGTACTTATAGACAGACACAAAGTGCTAGCGCTCATAGATAGTGGGGCAGCACGAACCGTCATCTTACCACGAGTGGTAGAAGACAACAACATACCCTATCGAACTAAGAAAGTTCCGATGCGAGTAGTATTAGCCGACGACAGTCCCACGACATACGGGAACGGCTGGATTCAACTTAAGACCAAGACAGTAACGTTACGCCTAGCTAGTCAAGAAAGCTGAGAAAGAATTAGCATTATAAATCTAGGAGACACCGAGATAATAATTAGCTACGATTAGTTACTAAAGCATAACCCTACTATAGATTAGTAAAAGAAAACAATACTTAGCAGAGAACCTATGCATAAGGTTACTAGAGTACGACACGAGACACGCCCGACAAATCAGCGCGCAACCTAGAACGGGAGATTCAGCATAATCTCACTGCATAAGATCGCGAGAATCTATATAAAGGACCCTCAGAGCATAGAAGTTATTTAGATACGGCAGATCGCGACCACGAAGAAAGGATTAGTACCATAGTTAGCGATTCCAACAGAATACCAGACGGACGAGTTCAAGGAACTATTCGAGGAAAACGAAGCAACAGACTTAGCAGAACACTAGAATTAAGATTACGAGATTATTCTAGAGAAAGGAGCGAAGTTAAGCCTAGAAGGAATATACCTTATAGCGCCTGAGCACGATGCTGAGCTACAGGATTACCTCTAAAAGAACTTAAAAAAGGGATTTATCTAACTAGAATTAGGCCTAATAGCCTTACCTATTTTATTTATAAAGAAGCCTAATAGGAAGTAGCGACTATATATTAACTTCAGAAGGTTGAACAGCGTTACTTAGAAGAACTAGTACCTCTTACTACTTATTACGGAACTTATAGATTAACTCTAAAGAGCTAAGTAGTTTACGAAGTTTAATGTTCAAGAAGAATTTTACTAAATTAGAATTAAAGAAGGTCACGAATAGATAATAGCGTTCAAAACGAAGTACGGACTCTTTAAGTACACGGTTATACCGTTCGGATTAACGAATACGCTAGTAATCTTTTAATTAGTTATTAATAACGCACTCTATAAGTACCTCAGAATCTTTATTACCGCGTATCTAGATAATATACTAGTGTACTTCAGCGGCACACGCGAAGAACATGTTAAGCATGTTAAGAAGATTTTATAAAAGCTTAAAGAATATAAGCTATACCTTTAACTAGGAAAGTGTAAATTCTATATATAGGAAACGGAATTTCTTAGATTTATTATATTAACTAAAGGAGTAAAAATGAACCTAAAAAAGATATAGACTATATAGAAATAGCCAAAGCCTAAAATAGTTAAAGATATCTAGTTCTTTTTAGAATTTGCGAATTATTATTAAAAGTTTATTAGAGATTATTTAAAGATTATAGTACCCCTTACGAAAGTAATAAAAAAGAAAATAGGTTTTAAATAGAAATAGGAATATTAAGAGGCTTTTAATTAAATTAAGTAGATATTCCTAGAGGTACTAGTACTCGAGATGTACAGCTCTTAACGACCTACTAGAGTCGAGACCGACGCGTCTAACTACGCACTTAGAGCTATACTATCACAGTAGTGCCTAGATAAAAAATAGAGACTAGTGTTCTACCATTCACGAAAGTTCTTAGAAGTAGAACTTAATTACAATATTCATAATAAGAAACTACTTAGAGTAGTTAATACCTTTAAATAATAGAAAGTATACCTATTAGGACTCCCCAACTAGATTAAGGTTTTTACTAATTACTAGAACTTAACGAGTTTTATAATAATAAAAAAACTTAACTAATAATAAGTGCGATAGGTAGAGATGCTAGCCTAGTTCGACTTTAAGATCACGCACCGCGCGGGAACGCTTAATGGAGTAGCAGACGCTTTAAGTAGGAGGTCTGATTTGCGCGAAGAGGGTTATAAGGAACTATATAACGCCTTACTTAAGAAGATACCTAATAGTAGTCTGAAGTACAACTAGCTGGAACTAGCTAAAGTAGCTAAGGTGGCTAAGTAGATAGAAACGCTATAATAGTAATAGTAGCAGCGAGTAGCTAGCTAGCAGTTTAAGCCTGACGAAGTAGGCTCTAACGAACTATTAAACGACGAACGAGAGTACTAAGATATAGTTTCGAAGAATTAAATATATATACCTTCATATATAAGATTAAGTCTTATATAGGAACTACATAAGTTCTAAAAGTACGGACATACAGGAATTAAAGAAATAGTTAGACGACTAGCTAAGGTATTTGCAATACTACGTATGCGTACGAAGGTGTAGAAAATACTAGGTAACTATTTAGCATGTTACTAGAATAAGCCTAAGAGACATAAGCTCTACGGCCTATTATAACCTCTATAGCCACCATCTAGACTATAAATAAGTATAACGATGGACTTTATAGTGAAGCTCCTAAAATCGTTAGAACTAGAATTAGCCTAATTTTACGATATAATCTTAGTAATCATAAATTAATTAACTAAGGTAGTAAAATTTATACTTATAGAAGAGACTATTACGGCAGACGAATGCGCGTACGAAGTTACTAAAGTATTAGTGTTAGAGCACGGAATATCTAAAGAGTTTATTACTAATCGTGATAAACTATTTACGTCTAAATACTAGAATATATTCCTAGTAAGAATAGGTGTTAAAAAGAAGCTTTTAATAAGCTTTTACCCCGAAACAGACGGCTAGACGGAACGAACGAACCAGACATTAGAATAGTACCTACGGATGTACGCTAATAAATTATAGAATAACTAGGTAGAGTTACTACTAATAGCGTAATTAGTCTATAACAGTATGAAATTAGTAATAACAAAGCATTCGCTATACTACGCGAACTACAAATACGAGCTAATTACTTAGCGAGATCTAAAAGATATTAAAAGTATCGCGATAGAAGTAGACGATAAAGCGAGGCTTATACAAGAATTATACGAAAAATTAAGTAAGAATATAGCTTAACAGAACCTTATAACATCTAAAATAGTAAATAAACTAAGGATTAAGGGACTAACCTTTAAGAAGGGGGATAAAGTTTTCTTATTATAATAAAACCTAAAAACTAAACGACTATATAGAAAATTAGATAACTTCTAAATAGGACTATTTAAAATCCTAGAGGAAATAGAAAAAGTAAACTATAAGTTAAAACTCTTATAAGGTATATAAATCTACCCTATCTTTTATAAGAAACTTCTAGAACTAGTACTTATAGATACTAAGCTAGTAACGGATATAGAGCTTAAAGATAATAAGTATAAGGTTGAAGAAATTAAGAACCTACGGAAAATTAGTAGTTAGTAGAAGTACTTAGTTAAGTAGTAAGGATAGCCTAAAAACCACAACACTTAGGAACCTAAAGGAAACCTAATAAACTGTAAGTTACTAGTACGTGAATACTACTAGAAGCACCTAGAGAAGCGAGAGGAAGCCCCTTAAAGAGGAAGGAATAATTAAAAGAAGGATTAAAGAAGTTAGCCTATAACCAGCCTAGATTAGCTAATAGTTTAAATAGCGGTAGTTTGACGACAGAAAGGCCCGTACTAGAGGTAGAGTTCCCCTTAGCCTGCTCTTTCGCCTAGTCCTAAAGACTTAGGATAGCATAATCTTAATTAGTGAATTCCTACTCCCGCGCCTTAACCTCTAGAAGCTTATAATAAAGATAGGCAGTCTCTATTACGGCCTAAAGTTAGCGTTCCTTAGTATGAGCGATTTTGAGACGTTTTTACTACTTTTTAGCTTTAACCTTCTTCTACTCTTCTTTAGACACGAAAAGACTACACTTAGTAAAAATAGAAATATAACTAGTATAGTGACTAGTCACTATATCTACGAAATACTAAAGATTCTTCTCTTCATAACGTTTATAATAGAAAGTTATTTCGCGACCTTATTCCCTTATACAGTTAGTACGGGCCTAACGTTAAGAAGTTGAATTCTAAGTACGGACGCGGTAGTTTAACTAGATCTTTAGTATGGTTAGAAAGGCTACAAGGTAGAGACGGCTATAATAAGTGGATAGGCTCTAACCTTATATACAGCCGGCGTCTTAACACGCGGCACGGGAAAACGATATTCTAGAGTATTAAGACGATAGCCCTAAGAGAGGAGGTAATGTTATAAGTAACAAGAAGGATTCTCTTCTTAATAAATAACGAGATAGCTAAAGGCCTAAGAACGTCTACATTAGAAGGTAATAATTATTGCGGGGCGAAGATCACGTAACTAGCTTCACGCTAAGACTAAGTATCCCGCGCTAGTATGTAAGGACACCCTCACACGTAACTAGATATCTTTAGGGACTTTAGAAGATATAGGGATTATTTCGTAAAGACCGTAAAGCCAGGACTAGAAGTAATAAGAATATAAGAATAGATAGATTTTATTATTACTCTCATTATAGTTAACTTAAATTATACTTTCTTACTAGTTACTCAACTTCATAAGATTAATACTTGTTAGTCTATTCGATATAGATTAGGAATTGTTAAACCTATTGTTATCTATCTTATAAGCACGCCTACTCCACTACATCGCCAGATAACTACCTCACGGCGCTATTCACATATCCTTACTCGCCCTAACCCGGATCGAGCTTAGAGAAGTATCAGCACCCAACCCCGTGTAACAATAAAGAGCTTTGCGGGGCTCTAAAGTGTGATAATTAGCTTAGTAACTCGTAAGTATTCTAAAACGAATTATTAATAGAATCTTATAAAATCTAGAAACAACTTTATACTAGTAATAATAGTAGGTTAGACTTAGTTATAGAGGGCTTCTATCTTATTAGAATCTACCTCTAGGCCTTTATTAGTAAGGATATACCTTAAGTACTTTATCTAAGTAATATAGAATTTACTCTTATTAATATTAACTTAGAGTTCTACTTACTATAGCCTTTCTAGTACTTTACGCATATATTAGATATATTCTACCTCTAACTTAGAGTAGATAAGAATATCGTCTATGTCACGGTACGGGCTCACGGGCAGAGAGGACAGGCGCGTGTACAGGTTCTATTGCTACAGCTAATCAACAGGCTCTCACTACAGGTAGTATAGAGTAGAAGACAGGACGTAGCTCGAAGAGCTACACTAGTGAAGTTGCGGCGGTTTTGCAGAATCCGGGTGCTCGGACCCTCACCCGGATTCTGTCGGCAGCCAATCAGACGATCGCGCGCCGGCCACTCAGCCAGCGCCGTGACAGTACTCCCCTCTCTAGGCGGAGCTCTGTCGACGCGATTACCTTGGCTTGGCAGGGTAACGGCGGTGGAAGTTGTTGACGATCTCTTGGGCATTTTCTAGGTGGCTGGCGGGGACCTCGAGTTGGCTCGTCGTAGCCAGCCCACTTCACTAAGTACTTCAGGCGGGGGCGACCTCCTCGTCCGCGGCGGTCGAATCGGGAATCCAGAATATCCTCCACCTCCCATTCC